CAAATTCCTTTTGCTTCTGGTTATCATGCCCTTTGAGTCGTACGTGAAATTCTCCCTTGCAGCCTACACTACCACTGACTTGGGACACCTAGTGAACAATCTCCTTTTATCCGCATCGCAGTAGATGTCAACTTCCGCCAACACCGCCGGGCTCAAGATATCGCTGCGTCCCCATACTACTTCATCACAGAGAGTGGCAGGTGCACCCAATTCCATTGTGCTTGAAGCACGCACCGCTGACTGTCGAGATCTCCCAGTCTCCCTGACTCTACCGTGACGACCAGGCATCGCTGCGTGCGCGCTGCCCGCATGAGGCATGAGGAGCGCGTGCTCCGTGCTGAGGAGAGTCGGCGGGTGGAACGTGCCTGGATGTGGGTTTATGTTCGCGTACTGCTTTTGGCGTTGGCCTTGGAACGGACCGAGCGCCTCGCACGCGAGGGCAAAGCTGCTCACCAAGACATTTAAGGCCTTTATCGATACGTATTGTTATTTTGCCAAGCCGATGACCAAACATCGATAGATTTGCGTCTCAGACTCTCTCTGCCATGACAACGCCAGAGGTAGAGTCTCCGGAAAGCACCGCTCTCATGAACCTGACCACATCGCCTCACACATCATTTCCCTTGACTGACCTACAGCGCGGGGAGCGCTACACAGGCACGGACCTCGTGTTTACCACCGCGCAAGTGCTTCCTCATCCTTCCTTTCAATATGGCGCTGACCGACCTTGGCAGCTTATTGGAGGAAAACTTGAATTGGATGGTGATCAGCTACGACTATTCTGCCCAGTGGCGGCCGCGGCAACGACGACGCAACGTGGAAGAAATCATGAGGGAGGTTACGGAGAGAACATCGCTCTGCCTGTTTTTTTTTGGTCTTTCAGTGGCTGACTTTGAGCAGTCACGAGTACATAGCGGAAATAATCTGGCTGGAGGCCGCCCACCGCGCCCGGATGCTACGCTTGTGGGAGCGGGAGAGGGAGTATATGATGCGCCTGCCTACAGAGCTCAGGTGAGCCTACAACTGCTTCTATGCAGTTTCGTGCGTCTAACTTGGCTCTAGTGATAGGGGGGCGATGCGCATCATGCGGCACTTTCTGATGCTCAAGCGCGCTGGGCGGGGTGACACGTGAGAGACGACAATGACGCGGGGGTCCTGGGCCATGGCTGTGGCGTGCCCCGCATGTCCGCAGGGCCCGTCGCGGCTACCGGAGGCCTGGGCCCACTCTGCTGAAACCGTCGACGACGAAGGGGGTCCGGAGGAAGGACGGCACGTCGTGGAATGCATCGCCGGCGGGTGAGGACTTGGCGTCGGCTACACGGCCTGTGGGTGCCTTCCGCTTTTGTTGTATTTATGATTTGCAAAATTTATGCGTCGAATTCTGCGAGATTGCCTGGGTTTTAGCGGCTTGTTGCCCTTGAGAGTGGATGACTTATGATTTCTTTGGGGTTTTTTTTTTTTTTTTTTTCTTGCGCGGGAACGGGTTTGGGCCGACGTGCCGAACTCTCCAGCACTGGAGAGCTCGCTTAGGTGAAAGGTAAAAAAAAAATTACTCCTTCAAAGTCTTGAACGCAAAACGTTCAAGATAACTGCTCAAATTAAGCATAGCACAGGTTACTGCTTGGCGAGTCCACCTTTATGAAGGTTCTATATTAGCATAATTGTGATGGACCCAGCGCGCTCGCGGGCTCAGCTCGGAAAATTTACCTAAGTCGTGCTTCCATTCCCATGGCGAGCTCAAGTTCCCGCAAGAAACGAAGCCATCTGCCGGCCACTGAACTATACGAGTGGACCCTGGAAGAAGTCCTCGATGCCCCCTCGTTTTCTTCTCAATCCATTTCCGCCGACGGACGGCGCACGCAAACGAAGACGCATAGCGTGGATCTTCCCTCACCCTTGAAGAAACAGAAGCGCACGGAGCCGCTGTTCGCTGACGTTGGGGACACGTTTGAATACATGTTTGACGCGCTGCCGCCACCTGAGCCCGTGGTACCCCCAAATCGCGCAGTAAAATCGCGCGCCAAACGTTACTTATCATCAGTGAGCTCTTTCATTGTATGTAATGGCTGCTGCTAAAATTTGTTAAAGGACGCGCCCTTGGCGCAGTGGGTTCCCCTCCGTGATGAATATCTTGCGGAGTTCCTCCGTCTGGAGGGACGTGGGGTGGCGCACGACTTCTGCCCTGCCTGCCTCAAAGACGCCGCCCCAAACCCTGAATATCGCTGCATGGACTGCTTATTCCCGGAGATGGTATGTGGCTCCTGCTGCATACGGACCCACCAAGACCGCCCATTGTGTCGTATTGAGGTGAGTACTGTATCCTCGACTCGTGTATACCGCGCTGATGAACACAGCGCTGGACGGGACATTTTTTCGAGCGCACGATGCTGAAAGGGCTGGGGCATGCACGTTCGGAGACATGCAAAGACCCAGTCCCGGGCCATGACACGTTCACCGTGATCCATTCAAATGGATTGCACGAGGTAGCGGTGGACTTCTGTGGACCGGGATGCCCTAAAGCGCATGCCGCAGGCGCGCGACATCAACAGCTTCTGCGCATGTCTTGGTACCTCTCGACACACAAGATGCCACAGACGGCCACGACATTCCGAGTCTTGGAGATGTTCCACATTATGACTCTCCAAGGCAAGGTAACGACGTACAATTTTTATTCAGGGCTTGAGAAATTAACGGATAACACGGGGACGAAGGAGATGAAGGTAAGCAAGTTTTTGTACGCAAAGAAGAGCTTGGGGCTGAAGGATGACTTGACTAGGACCGCTATAAGTCGTTCATGCGCATGATGCGCGAGTGGCGCCACATGGTCATGCTTAAGCGTGGAGGGCGAGGGAACGATGGGGTTAGGAAGGTGGCGCAGACGGCACAAGGCGAGCTTGCTGTGGGCTGTCCGGCTTGTCCTCAGCTGGGCGTCAACTTGCCTGAGGGCTGGGAGAAGTCCGAGGGCACAAAAATGTGAGTGCACTTCGTTCTAGAAGGGATGCAGCAGCTGACAGCGATGGACAGGTTTTTGTACATTCTCTTTATTGCAATCGATGCCTGTTTCTGTTTGAAACGGCGGCTGGTGTCAAGTGTGGCCAAGGACCCCGCGCTTGGCAGCGGGTGGGCGTACTTCACGGAGGATGCGCCGTACCGCAAGTATTTGCTAGGAGTGACGGACCAGAAAGAGGTACGTCGAAAGGAGAATGTGCGCAAGACGTTACTGAGGCAAGACCGGCAGATGAGCACTTGCAGTGGGCTCGCCGCCCTCGACTACGTGAATACTAAATTTTCACGGGGTTATGGAGCGACTGGGGTCGGGCTCGGCATCTGCGCAAGGCACGAGTTTGTCCAGAGGAACGGGGCCGGGGACCTGCAAAAGGGGGAACGGTGCGCAACCGTATTAACTTGAGGGGTACAATGACTAATGCCTACTGCAGTTATGCGAATATGGATTATATCTTCACCTCTCTTATTCGGCACCACGACGCCCGCCTCCCGAAATACATATCGTACGATATTTGCTGCCAGTGGAGCAAACACCTCGCCGAGTGCTTGAAGAAGCTACCACCAGGGCTGCGTCTGACTCTCGTGCTCGGGCTCGTGCGCTTCCTCATCCCCAAGCTCCACATCTACGGGCACAAGATACTGTGCCAATTGCTCTACTCCCTGAACTACACCTTGGGTTCCACACGCACGATGGGGAAGGGATTGAGCGCCCGTGGGCGAACATCGGCCCCATCGCGACGAGCATGCGTGAGATGGGACCAGGGTCGTGACTTGACACGCTCGATGACCACTGGTCCCACTGGAACTGGCAAAAGCTCGTTGGGCTAGGGCTGCTCCTGATGAAGCGGCTGCTCAACGCTATAAGCGAGCGCAACTTCCAGGAGGAGTCCCTGGCGACCTTCACTGCGAAACCAATCAGAGCATGTACCCGAGTGGAAGGCCATGGTCGAAGCCTTCGACGCCGACAATACCAAGCCTAACCCCTACGAGCATCCCAAGACAGGTATGCCGTGTGCCCCGTTGCAGACTCCGAGCGTAACTGACTGCGTATAGGGGTTACGGAGCAAGACGTCCGGCTGCACCTAGCGGAGGAGGAGGCGAAGGAGACGACACCGATCCATAACGTCAGCCCCAGCGCATTCGTCCTCGCGGGACTGGAACTAGAGGAGCAGCAGTGCGTGTAATCGAATGGACAGATAGGATGTGAGACTAACCCATTTAATAGGCATCGTGTGAGGATTGAAGCGGAGACGTGGAAAGACCTCACCACAAAGCAAACAGCAGAAATGCTGGAGAAGCGCACCAAACTGGGGCGCTACACGGCACGCTTCCGCACGCTGCAAGGGGTGTACATGCCCGCGGCACTGCAGGTGCTCACCGACCACCCTTCTCTGGCGCCAGGGAAGGAAGAGCAGGCCGGGCGCGTCAAGAACAATGCATTGTACCCAGTCATGGTAGGGGGGTACATTGGATTAAAGGCACTGCTTGGTAGGCCAGCCAGAGTGTACCATATTGCAATGTACCTTTGGGCTTTAAATAAAAGAAAGACTAGTGCGGGATTCAAACCAAAAGCAATGAGAGGAAGCATTACATAATCATGAAAGCAACACTACAACCAACTGAGCCAAGAAGGAGTGATAGTAAGTTCAATTGATAGGTACATACCAGGCAGTGTATAACACATATTAGGTACCCTGCACAGGCCCCGCCTTAGGGGCCATGTTAGAGCTTAGAGTTAGTGTTAGTGGTTAGGGTTAGCAGTTAGGGTTAGAACAGGTATATTGAAAAAAAGTTGCAGAGAATTTGTAAGCTTTTGATGCTGAGTTAGGTAGGGTTAGAATGCACTCAGAACACATAATAAGCATTGTAAAACAAGACTCTGAAGACCTAGGGCAGGCAAGCCTGCCCTAGGTCTGGTATTAGCAGTGTAGTAACAGTCCCAGGTAGGGTAAGCTTCAGCTTAGCCTAGCTGGGAACACAAATATATATATATAACTAGTTTAGTCTAGTGGTTATCTACTGATTCTTTAAAAGTGACTGTAATCAAAAGGTTGTGGGTTCAATTCCCACTACCAGCACTATTTTTGCTTTATTTGTGGTGCTATAAAAGGTACATTCAATTAAGGTACATCCTGAATGGCCTGCCAAGCAGTACCTTTAATCCAATGTACCCCCCTACCATGGCTGGGTACATTGCAATAAAGGTACAGCTACAGCTCCCAAACTGGGGCGCTACACGGCACGCTTCCGCACGCTGCAAGGGGTGTACACGCCCGCAGCACTGCAGGTGCTCGCTGACCACCCTTCTCTGGCGCCGGGGAAGGAAGAGCAGGCCGGGCGCGTCGAGAACGTCCCGCTGTACCTGCCGTCGGCCCTGTCGGAGGCGCAGCGCTCCTCGGGCTGCTTCCACCTTATAAGGTCAGGTTATCGCGATAACAGTGGTATATATACCACAGGTCTATTGCGATATCTCTGGGTTAACCATATTTAGTAATTGTGAAACAAATATACAGGGCTAACTGAGGCCACACCAACTGAGAAATAGCTTGTTTAACCACCCTTAGGGCCCCCTCAGGGCCAGGTTAATGGTTTGGGTTACTGGTTAGTGTTAGAGGTTAGTAGTTAGGTTGGTTCAGGTTAGGAACAAGGTATATTGTAAAAAAAGTATTTTGAGGATAGTAAGCTTTGATGGTTAGGTTGGTTAGGGTTAGAAAACACTCACAAATACATAATAGCAGTGACAAACAACTTTCAAAGACCTAGGGCAGCTTGCCTGCCCTAGGTCTGGGTATTAGCTGTGAGTAACAGTCCCAGTTAGGGTAAGGTAAGCTTACCCTAACTGGGAACACAGATTAGCCTTGTATAGCTTCTTTA